CATTTGACCTTTCGCCTCCGACAAGTGTGGCAGCTGTAGCTGGCGCGATTGCGGGTGATTTGACGGCCCCCAGCCTTCCCAGTCTTAGGAGCAGCAGAAGACGAAGAGCCTGAGGCAGGGGAGTCATAGCTAGAGCGAAATTGGGATCGGGGGGTTCCGTTCATCTGCCCGTAGCCGGGCAGAATGCTCGGTGGGCTTGTATTCATGGTCCGTCGGTCGCAGTGGCGGGGTTCTATGATCCATCGACAGGACGCAGGGAGTGGTTCATGAGGGAGTGCACATGAGTGTCAACCCATGTATGTGAGTCGCGACTACTCGGGTGTCGATCGAACAATTGTGCGCTTGTTGGAAAAATAAAATGGAAGCAACCGCGCAGTGATTGAAGCTGAAGCTGAGAGGAACAGCGGCGGAGGATGACTCTGGGGTAAAAGAGGCCGCGGTTCTACTTATCGGCGATTGCGCCGGCTCGGCCAATGACAGCGACCATATACGCAAGACGGTCGGATGGTCCTCCCGAGAAACTCGGAGTGATTTGGATTGACCCATGATTATTTACTGAGAGGTGTGAGGTCTTGCAGAGCATGGTCTAGGTACGCAATAAATTTTTTTGGGAATGATCTCCGCAGAATAAAGTAGAGAAGCGACGGCTGCCATCCGCTGCGGAGACGGAAGATGGCACCTGACAGCTACATCCAATACCACAAACCAGACATGTCCCCACTCATTGATCATTTCATTCGACTTGGTATCAAGAGAACAGCAGAGATGCCCTCTATACATGAATCATCATAACGCCTTTCGCCCGTGCCAATGCAATCAAAAGCCTATGTACCACATGAAGAAACACCGACAAGTGCTTCACGCCTTGCCCTTCTTCTTATCCTTCTTCTTCTTTTCGCTGCCTCCAGCAGACGGGCTTCCACCCATGCCCCCCATTCCCCCCATTCCTCCCATCATCCCCGCCAGATCCGGCATTCCAGGTATCTGGGGCATGCCGGGCATACCCTGCATGTTCTGCATCTCAGCCATGGCGTCCTTGAGCGGGTTATCGCTGACTCCACCACCGCTGTAGGCCGGAGAGTGTATAGGCAGAATCTTTCCAATCTTCCATCCACGGGGAGCGACGGGCGCAGCAGGTAGTTTCTCGGGCATGGGGAGTCCTCGGATTCTAAGACGGTAGGGGGATTCTTCGGTGGTAGGGTGAGCCTTGAGGTATTGCGCCACGAGGATGTAAAGGTGGTGTTCTGCAGTCATGGTTAGATAAAGGAAACTGCAATCAAGCCATATCAAAAGGGGTCGACTCTGATAGTAACCTGCGAACAGGTTGGGGTACACTGACTGTTCTTGATTCTCGAGTTGACCAGCTTCCCGTCCTCGTTCTTCAGCAGGACACGCACACGTCCAGGGTTGGCCCAGTCCTTGGGATGCAGCTTCTCAGGCTCGAATCCGACATTCAGTCCCAACATCTGCACCGCATCGACAATGTCCCTCGCTAACGGGTTCTCAACCGCCAGCTCACTTCCAACCTTGCGGCCCTCCGCGCGGGACCGCGACTTGTCGAAGTATATCGGGTACAGGCATTGATAATGCTTGGGGATCTCGCGCTGAGGTTCAGGAGCGGGCCTCATGGGTATTGAGCCGGACATAGGTACTCCAGCTCCAGAAAGGATGGACTCATTGGCGAAGTTGGCGGGCGAGGAATCGGAGGGAGCAACTTCCTCCGGGTCAGAGTCGTACACCTCCTCTACTTGGGCGTGTCGTGACATGATTAAGACTCAGTATAGGTAATAATAACAGCGTAGAAAAATATGTATAAGATTAAGACACGCTAATGTGTCCGGAGCGGAAGGTTGAGCAGGTGGGCTGTTGTAGTGAAGCCGTGGTGGCCTTTCTGTGCGGCAGGGAGTTTTAGTGGCCAACCAACTGCGGAGCGGAGAGCTTTGTCCGCCCACCGCCCGCATCGCAGCGGAGATACCCATCACTAGTACTACATGCAGCCCTTGATTTGCTTCTGAGCAACTGCTCTATTATGTACCGTACAAACCTTACCTTTGTTTGCTGCAGATGATGCACATGATTATGCCTTGACATTGTCGCTCTAATAGGTCCTGTACGCCGAGCTTTACTTCCCACATCGCCTATCTGGGATTCAAGGGTTGCAATGTGTTAGACCAGCTCTCTACCTCTACGACTCCCGCAGTTCTGCCTGGATACTAATTAGGGTTGACGATGGAAGAGATATCCCAGAAAAGGGTCGACTTCGGCATAGAGGGCATCGTAGGGCACCAAGCTAGGATGGCACTCATTACCATGGAACATCCAGCGATAGAATCCTGATTGACATAGTATCCAACGGATTCCTACTAGTAGCTTATATATAAGCTGACACGACATGTAGAGACATTCTCATTGATGTACTATACTAAGTTGATGTCCACTCAAAGGCATGGTGTAGCAACAAGTTGTCGCAGTGCGACCCCTTCGTGATCCATCATTAACAAAGCCAAGATGTTGCATCGCCTTAAGCGAGGGAGGTTACTCATCTCCGCGTCAGCAGGAGATGATGGAGAGATGGACGACTCAAACGAGCACGATAACCACCATCAGGTCGGAGATCGGCCCGTCGGCGGAGACGGCCAACCATGCGCTCGGCTTCCTAGGATTGGGTTGCCGGCTCCCCGCCGGACTCCATCCCCGCTCCTCCCCACACCCTGAGTCACTAAGTGATATCAAGAAGAGGGAGCAGTCGAAAGGGCTTATCGCAGACATAAATAGCCCTGCATCATGCTGCAATCATGGCTTCAGAAATATTTATCCAGCTCTATGCACTGAATCTACATTTGTTCTACTCCTACGACTATCTATATCCTCTTCAATCATGAGCAAGCCAGGTACGTTCCAACTAGTAGTATACCAGACAATCTTAATCCATTGTTCCTAGCTCACGAAGAGCCAGAGACTGTCACCCAAAGCTCCGTCCTCCACCGTGATACCCGCTTCGTTCCCAAGAAAGCTATCGGCGGTAAAGGCAGCTACATCTTCCTTGAGGATGGCACCAAGTTTCTCGATTCGACCGGTGGTGCCGCCGTATCCTGCCTAGGCCATGGCCATGAGGAGGTCAGCCAAGCGGTGATTGATCAAATCAACAAGTTGTCATACTGCCATACGGCATTCTTTGGGACAGAAGCATCGGAAGAGCTTGCTACCTTCCTTACTGAGTCGACTGGAGGCAAGCTCTCGAAGTTGCTCGTTGTGAATTCTGGTACGTCAACACACCCACTCTTCACGACCTTTCGATCAAAGGAGTACTCACGTATGCCCAGGCTCCGAGGCTGTCGAGGCCGCACTGAAATTAGCCCGTCAATACTTCGTCGAGCTACCCACTCCCCAATTACAACGATCCAGGTTCATTGCCCGGAAGCCCTCCTACCACGGCGTCACTCTAGGTGCCTTGTCAGTTGGCGGACACATGATACGTCGAGAGCCTTTTGAGCCAATCCTAGCAAACAACACATCCCACGTCTCGCCTTGTTACCCCTACCGAGGCAAGAAAGCAGGTGAGTCCGACGCGGATTACGTCGCCCGGCTAGCAGCAGAGCTCGACGCAGAGTTCCAGCGCGTCGGACCAGAAAATGTCTGCGCTTTCATTGCAGAGCCGGTTGTAGGAGCGGTAAGCAAGCAACCCTTCTTAAATTCAACATCAGGCCCTCGACAGAGCCACCTCTTCCACACAAAGCTCAGCAACTAACGCAAGCAACCATCAAACCAGGCCCTAGGCGCCGTCCCCGCCCTCCCTGGCTACTTCCCCGCCATGAAAGCAATCTGTGAAAAGTACGGTGCGCTTTTCATTCTAGACGAGATCATGAGCGGGATGGGACGCTGCGGTACCCTCCACGCCTGGGAACAAGAGGACGTAGTTCCCGATATCCAAACCATCGGCAAGGGACTAGGAGGCGGATATGCACCCGTCTCTGGTATCCTCATCAGCGAGAAAGTCGTCGGGGCCCTCGACAAAGGCACAGGGGTGTTCCGGCACGGCCAAACGTACCAAGGCCATCCTATTGCATGTGCTGCCGCGTTAGCCGTGCAGAAGGTCATCAAACGGGATAACCTGCTCGAGAATGTCAGGAACATGGGTAAGTACTTGGAAGAAAGGTTACGGGGCAGCTTAGAGCAACATCCGTATGTGGGCGATATCAGAGGGAAGGGGCTGTTCTGGGGTGTAAGTAATTCCCCTTGTTCCACGATCTTTTGTCCTCTGAGGATCGGATCGGATGAAGACTAATGTGCCTTGTGTCTGCAGATCGAATTCGTGAAAGACAAAGAGACCAAAGAACCATTCAGTCCGGACAAGGGCGTGGCGTTTCTGATCCAAGAGACCGGGTTGAAACCGGAGTATGGGGTGTCGTTGTATGCTGCTAACGGGACGGTGGATTGTATGAAAGGGAACCATATCATTCTGGCGCCGCCGTATAATATCTCCAAGGAGGAGATCGATATCATCGTGGATACGGCGGTCAAGGTGCTTGATGTTGTTTTTGCGAAAGTTAGTGCAGCTTAATGACGGGATATGGAATTGCTTGCAGTAGACTCTGCTGCTAAGGATACGTACGCAGTTGTTGCGATGGTGCATTGACTGATTGCATCAGCAGTCAATGCGAGGGTCCGTCTGTCTTGTTGAAGGATGGAGGGTAGTCAACTAGATCCATTTTAAGGAGAATACAATTGATGTCTCTTTATAATATGTCAAGACGTAGGGTCAAAGATACATGGATTTGATCTATCTAGATCTCAAGAAGATGGTTGGTGGTTGGATTGGGTGGTCAGAGGCCACACAGGAAGAAGAGGCGAAGGATCAGCTGACAGCTGCCTGGCTGCAGTGAATGTCTCAACATAATACAAAAAAGCACTAAAGCATCCGAGTAGAAAGAAAAGAATCAAAGCCACAGCCATCTTGGTCTCACGCAGTCCACGTCATCGTTTCAAGCCTGCCAGTGCTGTCATCGCACCAATCTGCTAGCAACCCAGAAAGCCTTATATGCTTCATGGAGTTCATTATGCTGAGCATCTGCTTGCATGGGATCCAAGTAATCACCTGCATACCCAGCTGAAACCAAGGCATCTAGAAATTTGTAGAACCGTTCCTCAAATAAGTCAATTCCTATTCTCTTCTCAGAGGCCTTGACTGTGGCATGTCTTTCTATTACATTGATTATCGGAATGTAGTCTTAATGTAGGTAAGGTCAGCCCCTGGATAAACAAAATGGGAAATACAGGAATGCTAATAGAGATCCGGCGGATATAATATATCAAAACTTACCGATCTTCTTAGCAAGGCTAGGATCAACCCCATAGAGAAGCACAAAGGTATCCCGGTCATTGCGTGGTGGGTGTATCTTTCCACCTTCATCGAGATAACGCGAATCTTCTTCATAAAAGGAGGCATCCGCCTTGAAATGGCCTCCATGGGCTCTTACATTTCCAATACGGATGAGTCGTTGAGTTTCAACCGCCGTATCATTCAAAACATCTCTTCGGAACGAGGAGAGGAATCTGTCTCTGATATCGATGAAACCATTGCTGAATTGTGCGCGCGCCTGCAGCCCGAACTGATCAGATGCGTGTTGAGATTCGGCCAGTCTTTGTTCAATTCCGGCCAGTTCTTGTTGAAATTCGGACAGTTCTTGTTTAGTCCCGGCCAGTTCTTGTTTAGTTCCGGCCAGTTCCACTCCAAGCTTTTCAATATCCTTGCGGAGCTGATCAACCTCTGAGTGTATAACTGTTATCATCTCGTCTCTCTCAGCTTCCACGAACAGTTCATCGCCTTCAAGAAATTCAGAAAGCGACCGCTTTGTAGCAGCAACCATTTTTGAGACTCGGGCCCAAGATTTACTTGTTGACTGGGAAGCCGCGGTAGAAAGGTTGTTTGGGAAAGCACGTTGACACTGCGTCTTGGGAAGGTGTCGCTCCGATGGGGTACTGCCGTTCTTGAAGGCGTGGGTTAAGAAACGCTGGAGAATAGCACGTCGTAAAAAGTATGGTTATGAGCTTTGAATAAAGGAAGTAGTAAGGTGAGAATGTGAGGGGTGAAATATATGTACCGGGAGGTAAGTAGATGATGTCTGCATTATGGTGTATCTACGTAGGTACCGTATCCATAGGCGGGTACTGACGGGGATCTGATGAAATAGTACGGAAAGCTCTGTGTTTCCGAGCAAGTGAATGTACAGTGAATGGTGATTTCGTCCTTCCTCTGTCCTCTGGAACCATGTCGTCTCACGCAGTACTCCCCAAGGCTCAACATGAAATGATTAAGCCCTTGGATCAGGCTTGGCCTACCGGAAGGCTTACAGGCATGTCACTCTATTATGAGATTTTCATTTCTTTTGAGCTGTGCTAGGTAATTTGTTCAGTGAGGAAATAGTGAAGTTCAAGTGGAACATATCAAGAAGCTTAATTCTTTCTGCTTGGGTACTTCCCTTTTGCTTTCTGTCCACATACTACGCCTACTCTACTCATACTTCCCGTTTATCCACTTTTTCCCCCTTCACAATGAAAAACGCTCCAAGAAATCAAAAGGCCCTGCTCCTGCTGACTTTGAGATCTACACAGACGAACGAGCAACCGCTATAGTATCGTCGAATATCAATATTAAACCGCCGAATCCCTGAAGCCGATGAAATGCGCGTGGAAGCTGTGAAAGACGAGATGATAACAGGAAATAACGCCGGTGTCGAGTTGGCTCGCCAGAACGCAAGACTATCTATCCTAGAGATGAAACTGGCCAGAGAATGAGTGTTGAGTATACCCTTGGGTTTGCTAAGATCCGAGGAAGATTTCTTTCCAGCTACCGATGACCACATGGCCGATAATCAAAGAATTATCAGCCAAGGACACGCGAAAGCCCACGAGGGCGCTTTCTTATACCGGGAGGAAGGCCGCTAGGAACCGACGTATTAGAAGCGCGATTTGACACGTTCCTACATGCCTTGAAAGCAGCCGAGTACCCCGGAAACTACTTACCTCGATTTGATGTCTCCCGAGTATCATCAGTTCAAGGAACTCCGATCAGCGTACAGAGAATTCTGTGCGGCGACCTAAAGCGCACCGGGTACTCTGTTGGACGCTTTTGCTTTTTGCTCGAACTCTTCTTCTCATATCCCATACCAATGGCTTCAGCAGCACACATTTCCTAGCAGCAATGTTGACTACCCGCACAAATCCACACCTGACCCATCATTAAGCAGCATTTAAGCAGCAGCAGCAGGAGGAGGAGGAGTATAACTCATATACCCTATATAGCCGGCCTTTACTAAATTAAGGTACTGGCTGGGAGGAAATAGTCACTATTTCAAGTGGAACATATCAAAAGCTTATAGTTACATACACCAATTACAGATTCATATCACGCTTTAGCCTCAATCGCTGTCGCCTTCAATCCCGTAGAAGCATCCTGATCTTTGCTTTCTCCATTTGCGGCCACCACTGTAGCAGGCGCAGGTCCCTCTGCCCACATGCTCGCCACGGTTTCCACGGCTCGTTCGACAACGACGCGCACCCGATCCCTTAGCGCAGGGTTGGCGCACTCCACTTCCAAATCTTCCAGCCATATCCGGGCGATGTGCTTGTCAACCTTGATTTCGAGTCCGGGGAATGGAATACCTAGTGCGTGGAGACGAGAGATCTCGGCTGCTTCTAGCTCTGTTAGGTCGTCTTCTTCTTCCTCTTCCTCCTCTTCTTCTTCCTTCACAGGGGTCGACTTGTCGTCGGAGTCAACTTTGTCGGTGGTGCCATTGGTGATACTATTAGGGGGTAGGCGTGGGCGCTCGATGGCTGTGATCTCGGAGCCGAATTGTGCTTGGAGCATCATGAGGAGACGTCGGAAACGCTCTTCTGGTCCGACGTTGGAGTGGGGATTGAGAATTTGGTGGGCGTGGTCATCGTCGTGATGGTGGTGGTGATGGTGATGCTTGTGCTTTGCGGATTCTGTATGATTTGTAGTTAGTAGGATGGTTCTTCATAGGCATTATTATGGGTGGTTGCCACTTACGTTTCACTGACGCAGGGCTGCTCTCAACAGTCAGGAGGACCGCCATGACTGCATCAGCAACTCCGTCGTTCATCATGTTTCCTTCCCATTCAAGTTCGACTTCGCGAGTGCGAGGATAGTATCGGATGAGCACGCAACCCATGACCAGGTAGGTTTGCGTATCTCCCATGGGGATTTCTTCATCGGCGGCTTCCTCCTTGAGTTTGTCTCCGTTGGCTTTGTCGGATTCGTCTTCCTGTCCCTTCTTGACAACTTCCTGCTGTGGCTTGCCGACTTCTTCAATGGCACCAAAGGTACCTTCAAGAGCCCACTTGATTAGGTCCATGCTTGCAGAGCTTAACGTAATATGCTGCTTGCATGTAATGGCGGTTGTGGTCAAACCAGCATACTCGCGGAGATCGTCGGGTGCCATCAATGATAAGTTGAAGCCATTTTGGACAAGGACGCCGGACATGAGCTGGCCATCGTCTTGCTCCGAAGGAGGCGCGATCTGAGCCAATTTACCCACTACCTTTGCGATCTTGTCCTTCTTGAACGGGATACGAACTTCTTCGCAGTTACCCGGCGTGTATACCTTGACTTTGACGGTCTTCTCGGCGTTGAGACTGAGCAGCTTCGACTTGAGTCGCATCATTTGGTGCTTTTCACCGTGGACAAGAATCTAAGGAGAATGAGTAATCCAAACATATTGTGACGGAAAGTAAACGGGGCTACATACCACAACAGGTGCAGAGACTTCCTCAATGAAATTTCTGTTCTCAACTCCATCTACATGGGCTGCGAAACTGACCTCATCCACTGTACATCTTCTGGGAATCATAACCTTCTGCTCTTCTTCATTTCCGGCAGCCATGCCTCGCCTCACCAATCCCGTTGTTGCTCTTGACATGACCGCAGGGATTTGCTCCGGTTCGTTCAGGATCTGCTTGGCCATCGTGCCCTCAACACTGTAGCCTGTCATGACCACACCATTGCGTTCGTTCGGGGCCCACCGCTCCAGAAGCTCCCTACTGGTTCCTGTCTGGAGCATACCTGGGGAAGCCAGCATAACACATCCCCCTACATCATCGAAACGTTCCAGGCTGCGCAAACTTCTGACGAATCTGAAGTCCCAGGGCCCTGCACTGACACTCTTGTCACCACTAGCTTCCGCTTCCGCCATACGCTGACGGAAGAGTCGCTTAATGTTGTCGTTCATTGCACCTATATATGTTTGATACACGACCATACATCTGCGAGCCGTATTTCCGATATAGTAGATAGGTATCTTCTGAAGTTCGGGATGTGTCTCCCAATATTCATCCAGAATGAGCAACAACTCTTGTGCGCGACCCAGGGCAAACACCGGCATTAAGACCCTGCCTCCGCGATTCAGGACTCCGGTAATGGCTTTCATAAGGGCGGCTTCACGTTCCAGGCGGGGGGGATTGGAGGAGATGCCGAACGTCGATTCTGTGATAAGCACGTCGATTTTCACACCTTTGGGAACTTCGGCTGGGATCAAGTGTCTGTCTTCTTCACGAGAGTAGTCACCGGTAAAGAGAATGTTGAGGCCGGCGATTGAAATTAGGAACATTGCCGCACCAAGGACGTGGCCAGCAGGGAAGGGAGTAATGCGAATGCTATTGATGGTGTGCGTTGTGTTAAAGTCGATCGTCTCGATCAAGGGAAGCGTAGATAAATGGTCCTGCTCGGTATACAGAGTGGTGCGTTGATCCGAAGACGAGGCCGTGCTGCTCACACGCACATTGTCCTGAATCAACCATTTGTAGATGGCTTTGGTGGCGTGTGTCATGAATACACGGCCCTTGAAATTGGTCTTGCTGAGCACATAGGGGAGCGCGGAGGAATGATCAACATGGAAACTATGGGTTAAGTAGAGTATCTATCAGCCGACTGTCCGATTCAGATGGTCGAGCAAGAATGAAATTGCAATGATGTAGCAGAGGCTGCGTTAAAAGGCACGGATACAGAGATACAACGCAAAGACCAAGATGAATAACTAGCATATATTGTATTGTGTCTCTCAGTACATGAGCAGATGCAATTGCTATGATGGCAGAGAAGAACCCTGCCACCATGCTGGGAAACCAAGGAGGTATGTGGTGTGGGATGCAATCCACGGCCATGAACAATCCCCGCATGCTCGGGGGCAACGGTGTAGGAAGGGTGACTAGGGGAACGCAAAAGAGAGACTGTCCCACATACTGGCTGATCAAAAGAATATCTACCGTGCTGAGGTCAAATTCGTCGAAGAAGGGCAGGGCTGAGAAGCCTTCTTTCGCAGGATGCATACCAGCGTCAAGCTAATGAAACCACAGTCAGTAAACAGTAGTTACAGCATTGGGTTGCGAATGACACACCATCACTGTTTTGCCTTTATACTGGATTATGTGACATGATCGCCCGACTTCATTTCCACCTCCTAGACAATAGAAAGCCAATTCATCCGTTGGATCGGCCGGCTCGTCATCCACCGCGGCATTTAAGGCCGACGCCTTTCGCTTTGTGGCCATGATTGGGAGTTTCGGATAAGCTACAGGTAGCGATGCAGAACTGATGAGAGTATGCAGCAGGCCAGTACAGATGCGACGGCGTCAATAGTAGGTGATGGTGTTCCTGGAAGTGCCGATATTCCTAAACTAGCTGCCTCTGCTCCGTAGGATGTCAGTTGACGCGGGATTGATTGCCCATGACATGTACTGCACAGAACCTGATCTAAATCTGCAGGAGTGTAAACAGTCAGTGCAGCGTCCACCACAGTAGTATCTTGAGCAACAGGCAAAGTGTGTTATATCTTCTGCATTTCCTGCAACT